GACAGGTTGGGTCCCTTTATGACTACGCTATAATACACCCCCCCGAAAAAAAACCTATTCTAATTACTCCGACATTACAAAGCCGAAGGTTTGCCTTCTCAGGGTTAGGGTTATAAGTTATAAGGTTTAGGGTTTAGGGTTTATAAGGTTTAGTGTTTAGGGTTTAGGGTTTCCGACTTGCAGGGCCTTCAAATTGGGGCCAAAGGCGTTTGGGGTTTACGGCAGGCTTCAAGCACTAGCTCCGAGAACCCCTCTGGACGGATGTTCCCCCTGATACTAACAGCTCCGCTCAGGTGGAGGGTCTGCGGCAGCGAAAACTTCCAAACAGAACTTCGCTAGCCTGAGCCCCCTGAACCCTACACCCAAAACCCTAAACCCCTAAACCCCTAAACCCCTAAACCCCTAAACCCCTAAACCCCTAAACCCCTAAACCCCTAAACCCCTAAACCCTAAACCCTTCAGCCGTGTAAGACCCGTAAGCCGCCTTCTCCAAACTCTGCATTGCTGGTTTCGCTCGCAACTCCGAAACTACAGTCTGCATGACCCTGGTCCAAATGGCCTCACACCTTCTCTATACTCCTCATAGAGCCTTTAAAAAATATATATACATATGTATATATACGTATATATGTATGTATACACACATCTTTTTTCATATTCTCTTGGGTGTCCTGTAAATAACCAAAAAGAAATTCCTGAAGGGGCTAATAATTCTTCAGAAACTATGAGTAGACACAGCGGAAAACAGAAACGACAAACAATAACAATGACAATCGCTATTAACACACTTAACAGCAACATTTGAACTGGTTTAGGGTGAGTTTTCAGGTGTTTAGGGTCTCCGAAACCCTGCTGGACTCTCATTCGCACTATTTTCCGTGCTGAAAGGGCTCCGACGCCCTAGAAATCCTCCGAATGCACTTTATAAGGAGCCCACGGCCCATTCAGGCGCCTATACCTATTCGGGCTCTTGCAGGTTGCTTGAGCCTCCTACGACTGGACTTCCGGAGAACAGCCCTGGAAAACAGCCCTGGAAAACAGCCATGGAAACCCTGGAGAACCCCGTTATGAACTTCAACTCCGCCAAGCCCTCAACGCTTCTTTTGCTTCAGGTCTCCGGGAACCCTAAACCCTAAACCTACAAACCCTAAACTCTCAATCCCTACACTCCCAATCCCTAAACCCTAAACCCTAAACCCTAAACCCTAAACTCTCAATCTCTGCCCCGGTGCCCAGCAAGAAAGCGCCGCGCAACGGCGGCGGCGGCGGTGTCGAGGCGCCCCAGGGCGCCCTCCAGAAGGGTCCAGGGCTTGGCTTCTAGGATTTAGGGTTTAGGGTCTAGGGTTTAGGGTTTAGGGTTTGGGGATCTCGGCCAAAAAACTGTGATGTTGCCTTCTGGGCTATTGTTGAAGTACGTTGCGTTTGGTGTTTGCAGGAAGCTTGGGTGGATGTTGGCGGTATTGTTTTGAAAGCTCAAGCTTGCATTTGCTGGTTATGGGTAGTTTTTGGTGTTCAAGGTTTCTCAGGAAGCTCTTGAACTTGTATGATGTTGAGTGACGAGTTTCAAGGCATCTGAGCTTTTCTGCGGGTCACGTAAAAGCTGTTTATCTTCTTTCGGCTCTGCGCGTGTGGGTCCGTGCGTGCGTGCGAACCAACACCCCGATACCAACACCCTAAACCCTAAACCCTAAACCCTAAACCCTAAACCCAAAACGAGCAGGGCGAGGAGGGCACGGGAAAGGGGCAGGTCCATTTTCTTAGGGGCAGTATCCCCCAAAAAGGTCGAGGTCTTGGGACTTTTAGGTTAAGGCTAGTTGGGCTTGAGGTTGCCTCCCGGGAACCCCAAAATCCTAAACCCTAAACCCTAAACCCTAAACTCCCCTTGGCCTCGGGGAGTGGAAGGCTCAGGAAGGCGGTCAACGAGACGAAGGGCAGCCTCAACGTTTAGGGTTGAAGAGTTAGGGTTTAGGCTTTAGGGTTTAGGGTTTGGGGTTTGGGGTTTAGGGTTAGGGTTCAGGTTTCCCTAGTTCATGGCTGGGATAGGCCTAACAATTTCAATGTCTAGTTCTCATTGAGTTTAAGTGCCCTTAAAAATGGAAAATATTAGCCCGCTATGACCAAGTTTCGGGGTTGAGAGGTTTAGGGTTTAGGGTTTAGGGTTTAGGGTGTAGGGTTTAGGGTGTCTGGGCAGGGCTTCTTTGGTTCAATTCACACTTTTTCAGGAAGAGTCTTCACGTGCCTAGCGGTTGGAGCCCTTGGATCAGAACCCCTAAAGCCCTAAACCCCCAAACCCCAAAACCTCTAAACAGTAAACTTGCAGATGCCACTAAACACCCCTGAATACCGAAATGCTAAACCCTAAACCCTAAATACCCCTTAATTACTGCTAAATGCCCCTGAAGACTCCCAAATGCCCCCCCCCCCCCCCCCTATGTACCACGAAGTTACACTTAAATGCTTGCAGAGAGCCGTGACGATCTTGGAAGTCCCCTACATCCCCCTACTACATACCCCCAATACCCCCTAAGCCCTACACCCTAGAGCTTTTGAGTCTCTGGTTTTGGGGTCTTTTGGCCACCCCAGGAAGCATATGATTCTCTTTGAGGTGGAGGTTAAAGTTTAGGGTTTTTTCAAAACAAGAAGCCGGCGGCATGCTGCATTCAATGCATGAGGAAGCACCCTAAACCCTAAACCCTAAACCCTAAACCCTAAACCCTAAACCCTGAACCCTAAACTCCCTAAACCCTAAGCCCTAAACCCTGAAGCCTAAACCCTAAACACAGCGTTCCAGGGAGCTTGGCTTGCTGTCAAGGAACCATGGAGGCAAGACCGATGAGAGCTCTGCTGCCTGCAGAGCGCTCAGTGGACACACGGGGGGGGGGGGGGGGGGGGGTTGGCGAAAATTTAGGGTTTCGGGTTTAGGGGACCCCTAATTTCTTTCCCCCAAAATAGTAGGATTCCCTTACAATAGAAAGAAGGGGTCCCTAATTTCGTTCCAGCAAGATAGTATTCTCCTTACAATAAGGGGCCCCAATAAGGTCTCCCCTCATTTTCGGAAACCCCCACGTGGAAGCAGGGGTGCTGCCTCTAGAAGTTGTCTAGACGCTGCGCTCTTCCTTGCCTTTGCCGATCAATGAGCTGAAAAAAGGGGGTTCATAAGCCATGTGAGGCAAGCACAGCAATCCGCCTCTTCAGGCAGTGTCGGCCGGAGCGCCAGCACACTAAATGGTTGTCTACGAGCTGTAGAGCACAATGCAGATTTCAGCGAAATTGACCAAGAGTAGCATTTATGGGGCTTGTTTCCGTATTTCCTGTAGCACACAAGCTTCCGTACTTTGGAACCGGATTGCTTGCCCGGGGGCGGGCATGCACAGATTTGAGTTCGGTTTAGTAAAACACCCCAGGATTAGTTCTTTCGCTGGGTCAGCCCTAAACCCTCAACCCAAAAAACTTGAGGAGGTTTTGGGGGAGGGGGGGGGGGGGGGTGGGGGGGTGGGGGGGGGGGGGGGGGGGTGGGGTGGGGGTGGGGGCGGGTTGGGGCGGGGGGGTTGGGGGGGGGGGGGTGGTTTGGGGGGGGGGGGGGGGGGTTGTGGGGGGGGGGGTGGGGGGGGTTGGGGGGTGGGGTTGGTGGGGGGGTGGGGGGTTGGGGGTGTGGGGGGGGGGGGGGGGGGGGGGTGGGGGGGGGGGAGGGTGTAAGGAAACTCTTGGGGGGGGGGGGGGGGGGGGGGGGGGGGGGGGGGGGGGGGGGGGGGGGGTGGGGGGGGGGGGGGGGGGGGGGGGGGGGGGGGGGGTGGTTTGGTTTTGTGTGGCTTACTTGTCTCTTTTTGCCCCCAGACCATGCGCACGATCATCATAAGGGCTCGGACAACCCGGACGAAATGGACATCTTTTCTGCACCTCAGGACATTTGTGACGAGACTGCTTCCTCAGAAAGCGTGAACCTTATGCAAATCACGAGTGTTTGCACACCTTCTGGGCTTTTTTGCATACTGTATCTACTTTACAAAAAACGATAGAAGACATGTAAACACACTCGTTCGTTTTCGCATAAAAACATGTACATGCATATGTAAATACATGCGCATGCATTCTGAAGATAACTTCTGTGCATGCGTATGTCGTGATACCGTCCCCCTCCAATGGACCTGAAGCCATGCATACATGCAAATGCAGATGCAGAGAGATGCATGAGTGTGCGGACGCATGTCTATGTATATGTGCATGTCTACCTGTATTGGTACATAGAAATACCTTGCAGATGGAGCCATCGACGGAAGAACAAGATTCCTCCACAAAACCGACTAAGCTCCCCGGAACCCTAAACCCTACTGCGCGTCGCAATGCCTCTTCCCGGCCCAGTGCCGCCAGCAGTGCCCCAGCCGCGGCAGGGGGAGGCCGAGCCGCGAGAGCCTCAAGGAGCGGGGTAGTATAGGGGCCTGAATGGCTTTAATAGGGCTTTTGGGGGTTATTGTAATAAGTATTTAGGGATCATCAGGGAATGCTATTAGTAAATATTCCGACCCCTATAGCAAGTGGGATCACTCTCGCTTTCTAGCATTCGAGGCGACTCAAAAATATATAGGGACTTCTATGACTAGATCTGCTGGGCTTCTAATGTATTGAATAGGGGATATGGGGGGGCATTATAGTATAATCTTCTTGGAGCCCTAACGGAATACTACTCCGACCCCTAGTAGTTGATCGGGGATCTTGAGCCGTTTGGGTTGCAAGGTTTGATTTTCAGGGTCTCGAGGGCTGCAAGGGTGAAGACAGCTAAGGATATGGGGATGGTTTACCTTACATAATACTTTTACCTGAGTTTGAACTTGGGCTATCACCCTAAACCCTAAACCCCAAACCCTTTAGTGCTACAGTTTGGAGTATAACATGCCTAGGCAGAGCCGTCGCGCACTGAAATCCTTTGTGGGCCTTTTTGCAACTCTCTGCAGCTACTCAGGTGCGCACGTGCAACTTTAATTTCCCAATGCAAGATGCTCGAATTACGAAAAAACGGCTTCAGGTGCCTTTTCATCTTCTTGTGCCTTTGCATCTACCCACCGGCCGAAGGCGCTGTCCGACATGGACATGATGTAGGAGCCGGCCTCAAGGAGCTCCTTGCTTTCCCAGGCAGTTGCTGGTTTAGGGTTTAGGGTTTATAGACCTTAAACATCCTTAAACCTTAAACTTACTGGTTCTTTCCCTACTTCAAATTCCCTATCCCTAAACCCTTTTGCTGCTGAAAGCCTTAACCCTCGACCCCTATCAAGTACAAGTAAGCCAGAAACATCTGAAGCAGGGTGTATATCTCTTCTACCCCCAAAAGGACACCCGGTATATACACTCACCAATTTTAAAAAGGAACCTTATATACACTCACCAAGAACAGAAATATAAACCCTGCTTCAATGTACTGTTCAATCGAGGCTCTCTTTTCTTCAGGTCCCTGAGGCGGACTGCCAGCCGGTCGTAGGCGTAGTAGAGGAGTTTTGGGCTCCGATGCAGCCGTTGTAGCAAATCCTGTGCGATGTCTCGGTTTAGGGTTTTTGCCGCCCGCCGAGCAGACCCCCTCTGGGATCACTCCGCAGGGAACAGTCGTGATTGCGAGGTTTCAGGAAAGTTCCGCAAAAGGGGTTCCGAGTCCTTCCTGAGGCCGGCATCAACAACGTATCCAGATCGCAATGACCGTTACTCCCCACAGGAATGGCTCCAAACCAGGCCCTTCAGTCGGTTTAGGGTTTTGGGTTTAGGGTTTGGGGTTTAGGGTTCTCACCCTATGCCACCGAAAAAGAACTCAAGTAGACTTCATGAAACCCGAGAGAGCACTCATGATGAAGGGCTCAGGCTGTCCCAAAGCACCAAGCACAAATGGACTTCCCGGAATGCCCATGAATACGGTTTAGGGTTGAGGCTTGAGGGTTTGGGTGATGTCTGAGGCAGTCCTCTTTGGAGAAGTACTGGAGGAGAAGTTCCATTTTCGGCTGTAGGATGCTCTTCGCATTGACTGCCAAGGCTTGCGGGCAGCTCGAGAGGACCTCAACAGCTTGTCGGGGTGGGCACGACAGGGAAAGGCCATTCTATTGTTGGATCAGAATATCATTAGATCGTTATAGTAGTACGTATGCGCCCGTTCCGCGTAATCGACCACCACCCCACCCCAATGGTATCCCCCCCCAACCCTGCCCGTTAACCCTAAAAACACCACGTACCACGGGGGGGGAGAGAGAAACGCTCAACCTAAACCCCAAACCCTATGCCGTAAACCTAAACCCGCCAATGAATAAACCCGAAACCTTAACCGCTTTAACCTTTAACCCTGAACCATGAACCCAGCACGAACCACATGGGGGAGGGGGAAACCATAAACCTGCCATAACCCCAAACCTGAAACTTACCGTGAACCAATGGATGAGAGCGAAAATCCTGAACTCTACAGCCTAACCCTAAACCCTAAACCCATGAACCACAAGGGAGGGGGAGGGGGGGGGGGGGGAGGGGGGGGGGGGGGGGGGGGCGGGGGGGGGGGGGGGGGGGGGGGGGGGGGGGGGGCGGGGGGGGGGGGGGGCGGGGGGGGGGGGGGGCGGGGGCGCGGGAGGGGAAGGGGGGATTGGGGGGTGGGGGGGGGGCTCACGAAAAGTCATTTAGTATTCAAATATCAGAATATTCTAGGATTCTAGAGTTCTAGTATTTGCATTATCGTATTTAGTATTTTAGTATGATAAGTACGATAATAACATAGCATGATCGTATGATAGTATGATAGTACGATAGTATGATGGTATTATCCTATCATAGTATCATGTACCGTTTCACCTGCCAGAATTTAAGGATTCAGGGAGTAGTTGTGGTGAGCTCGTCCAAACAACTAGATGAAACACAACGCTTGCCAACCGAATCTAGGAGTAGTATTCCCTTCTGGTCCCGTTATACTTATATACTATAATGACCCCCCCCAAAAAAAAAACCTATTCTAATTATGAATGCCCCCTACATTAAGGCCCAGAAGCACCGGCAACCTCGTCTTTGCTGAGGCCGACCTGGGAGTTGTACCCCTAAACCCTAAACCCTAAACCCTAAGCCCTAAACCCCAATAAGGTACCCCTCATTTCGGGAAACCCCCCACCTCTTTCAGGCATCTGACTGTCGATTGCAGGCGGTCCACCGAGCGGCCTGGGGAACCCCCTCTGTTTAGGGTTTAGGGTTTAGGGTTCAGGGTTCTGTTCCTGACCTAATATAGGGGTCGGAACAAGTACGAATAGTATTTCCTTATGGTCCCTTTAGAATTAACCTATAATAAGCCCCAAAAGCCTAGTCCCTCTCTACACACTCAAAAGGTGCAAAACCCAACACCCGGGTGGGTGAAAAAAAACTCTCTTCGCAAGCCCGTCACACATCCAAAGATGCCTTGTGGGCCGACTTGTGCTCGTGGTTGAGGGTTTGGGGGTTTGGGTTTAGGGTTTAGGGTTTAGGGTTTGGGGTTTAGGGTTTAGGGTTTAGGGTTTAGGGCCTTTAGGGTTTGGGGGTTTGGGGGTTTGGGGGTTTGGGGGGGTTGTAAGTTTTAGGGTTTAGGGTTAGGGTTGGGGGGGGGTTGAGGCCTCTGGCCGGTCAAGGATCCGAAATGAAGGCAGTGTAGGGTTCACCGCCTGCCTGAAAGGGTTTAGGGTTTAGGGTTTAGGGTTGAACCCTAAACCGTAAACACTCAAAGACCCAGCCTAGCACGGATGGAGCAGCTTGCACCACCTTCGCGCTGTCTGCCTCCCTGAAGCCTCAGGGTACCACTATGGGATAGTACGTGGCTTTATACTATATAGTATTCTACTACTACTACTACTACTACTACTACTACTACTACTACTACTACTACTACTACTACTACTACTACTACTACTACTACTACTACTACTACTACTACTACTACTACTACTACTACTACTACTACTACTACTACTACTACTACTACTACTACTACTACTACTACTACTACTACTACTACTACTACTACTACTACTACTACTACTACTACTACTACTACTACTACTACTACTACTATAATGGTGAGATACAAAATATATATATATATATATATATATCCTGTATGATAGTCTTCTAAGACTATGGTATACTATACTATAGTATACTTGAGGGGCAGAGCGAGGACAAGGAAAGCAAGCCGTGATTCTAGGCGACATGTAGGGATCCAAGAACAAGCAAAACTACTGGCTAAGGCGCCATCTCCTCCTCCCCAACTCCCCCGTTTAGGGTTTAGGGTTTAGGGTCCCCCCGCGTAAGCCCTAAACCCCTAACCCCTTTTTGAACCCAGACTGGACTGACTCGCCCCCTAACCCCTTTACTAAACCCTAAACCCTTTTGCATCCAAACCCTAACCCTAAACCCCTAACCCCTAAACCTTCTCCAACTGCCATGGAAAAAAGGTTGAACCTAACTATTAGGGTTTAGGGCTTGATTCCTACTAAGCAAGGAAACCCAAAGTTCAAAGCTCAGTTCTTGGTTGAGCTCAAAAGCCAGGGAGCCGAACCGCCTTAACCAACCCAGCGTAGACTCGACCTGGTCCTCGCTGAAGTCGAGCACCTGTGGTTCACTTTCCCGGTACTTCCAGGGTTCAGGGTTGAGCGTTTTGGGTTTAGGGTACCCAAGAGTTCGGTTACTAGAACCCTTAAGGACTCAATTGTTAGGTCCCTGGAAGTATAGGGCTCTGTGGCTCAGAGTTGGTGTCTGCGCATGTGGGATGCGTACCGGTGGGAGGTAGATGTAAAGAAACTGTACTTGCAATCCTGCTTAAGGTACCTGTGCGACGTCCTGCTTGCAACTACGAACCCGAAAGCCCTGGAGTATGGGCTCAGGCGACTTACCTTAAATTAAACTGCGTAGGGGTCATGATATCACATACAAAAAATGGATGTAGATTCATTGAGGGGGGTGCTGGGCTTCATGGAGCATGTAGCATGGTTGGGATCGTAGAAAAAACTGAATGTCTAGTCCTTATTGGGTGTTAGTACACTACAAAAGTGCAAAATGCTAGTCCACTATGATAAAGGAAAAGCCGATCCCCCACATCTTTGCGCTGATAGCAATCCAAAGCGAGAAAGTCCGAACATTTGGGCTGCCCGCAGTTGACGCGGTGCCACAACGCAACGCTGCCCTGCAAGCAACGCTTGAGTGTACGGCTTGCACGTGAGAAACCCGAAGCCCTGAACCCTAATACCCTAACATACCCTAAACTTTGAGCATCGCTGAGCACAAGAAGGGCTAATGCCCTCCCAAACTTCGCATACGACCATCTCACTGTTTGTTGAATACTGGGTAGGTCAGAAGATACTGAAAGTCCTGAAATAGCCGTCTTCAGAATGTGTGTAGCTCAAGGCATGACCCACTGTAAAAAGTGAACCTCGACATCGGCTCTCTACCTGCAACCACAAAGCTAGATCCGTAGCTTTAAAACCCACCCTAGAACCCATAATGTACAACCCCAAGTACGTACATGAAATGGAGTTTCGGTGTTTTGGGGTTATTAGCCGGAGGCAAGGAACGTGCGGATAATTGCAGATGGTTCTGGTCAGTGCATCCTCAGCATCCTTGTCTGCATGGAGAACTTTCTGGAGCATGTCCTTTGTGGGCCGAGCGGCTGATAGGTTTTAGATGGTTTTAGGGTCTAGGGCTCGATCAACCCAGGCAACATTTCTCAAAGTTGAGGGGTGTCCCAACTCCTCTTTTAAACAGAATGTTTTGGATGAGCTTTCGAGGTTTTTAGAGCTTCAGTCTCGTTTACATGAGTCTGCGTGCATGTTTTTGAGTCTCGTTGTCCTCAGCTTGGCTCACACCTGCGACGTGCGTATGGCTGTTGAGTGGCTAAGGATTTTGGGGCCTCAGTAGGGTTGCTTGAATGTTCACCGGTAGTTATAAGTAGGGTTCTCAGGACCCTTTTGCAACCAGGTCTCTGCAGCCAGCCGGGTACTAAGGACCTCCCTTACAGTAGCACTCGTGGCTACTCAAGGACCGTCCTGACCTTATCAACCATGTCATCAGAACATATCTCAGTAAGCAGGACTAAGTCAAATTGACTACACAAATCGGTCTCAATTGAGGAGAAATCCAAAGCGAAAGCCTCGCACACATCAAGTGTCGTAGTAACAACGAAGACGAATGCCTCCGAACTCATCCGAATGAACTTGAAACATCTGCAAAGCTCACAGCACAGGAGCAGGGTCTCATCACGTATCATCATCATCATTCTCACCATCATCGAGCAGCCCGTTCATCCTCACATCCCCACATCTGATCACATCACCCAGCCATCATGCTGTGATGCAGCACATACCCCCGTACCATCTTCATACCATCATCTCCATGCAGTATTTACCAAGGCCGAAGCATCACACGAGCATCTCAGGGCTTGGGTGCTGAGATTGCACTGTGATGTGAAGATCTGAGAACTTGATGACATGATGGATTGGTGACATTCTTGCTGTCGGTATATAGTATCCAGTATTCTTTTCGGAATGTATGATCATCGGCATGTCCTGAAATGAAATGGTATGATATGATATACAACGATATGATATGATGTGGTATGGTATGGTTTGCCGCCGTATGGTGATGATAAGCAAGAAGGTCGTGACATTCTGATATCATGATGATGTTGACGATGACATTAACGATGATCATGACGATGATCGTGACGATGATGGGGTGGTGCTCATGTTGATGGAGAAGATGGTGCAGTGCAGCAACGCTGGTGGATGTCTCTGTGTGTGCAGCTTACGGTATGAATTTACATTCAAGGTGGCTATTTATTCAGGGAGTTTACAGCTCTCGAAAGGTCATCTAGTCCAAGCAATTTTAGGGCTGATTACACCCCAAGCCGGTAACTATCCCAGATACCTTGTGCTGTTAGTCTTCCTGGGCCCTTTATAGGGTTTACGGTTTCGGGATGTTAAACCGCCTAAAAACCCTAAGCCTAAGTCCTAACCCTTCCAAGTCTCGATGCGGGCCTGTAGCGCCTCGGCGCTCAAGCTGAAAATCGCAGGGAACTTGGCGAAGACCCTGGCCACTTGCTCCTGGCTTAGACCTCAGGGTCTGCGGGTTTGAGGAGCCAGTGCCTCTTCGGCGGTGAGAGGTCGAGGTTGTGATTTTGATTTGTTGTGTGCATCTTGCTTCTGTTCTTTGACTGCCGTTTTCGGTGGCTAGATTGAGAGCAGATCCTGAGCCAATAACACATTTTCACGGCGGTGGCGCAGCCGAAGTTTCAGGGAGAGCTGCGAAATGTCTGTTCCATGGTGGTTGAAGTTCGCGACTCGAAGGTTCATGTATCTTGGCACTAGCGCTGCGACGTGATCCCCAAGAGTGTGCCTCCTTCGCGGAGGACATCTCCCCAAGGATTCTCGTTGACTACCTGTGAGGGCAACTAGGCGCGACTCTGTGGCAAGTCCAGGGTTTAGAGTTTAGGGTTTAGGGCCCAATTGTGCCCACAAAGTAGCCCCCCAGAACATCTATACGGACTTGGAGGCCCTGGGGTTTGGGTTTTCAGATGCAGAATGTAAATTAAAGGGGCGCTCATGGTTCCTTGTGTGTGTGCAGAAGCACACGCGCGGGCACGGGCAAAGAGATTGTGTGTTCCGTTCTGGGGGCCCGGCCCCTAGATGTTGATTTTACCGAGGCGGGCCGGGCAATTGGGCAAGAGTGGTTTTTTAGATGCTGCAGGGCTTTTCTGGGTTTAGGGCACGCTTTTGCGCAGCAAGCCGCTACGTGGATTTCATTGCATGATAGCACTTGCATGAATGAGAGAGAGAGCCAGAAAGGGAGAGAGAGAGTGAGGCAGAGCGGGGAGGACGAGGGAAGACACAGGGCAGGGTACGTACCTTAAAAAAACACATAAACCTGCAAGAGGCCATGGTGGCCTCAGCCAGAGCAGGCGGAAGATGCGCAGGCACATGCACAGAATCTCACATCAAGCCCGGCAACTTGGCTACATGATGCTTGGGGGCCTTGCTTGAAGGTCCATGGGTAGTGAGAAGTAGGGTTATAAGGGCCCTAAGCAAGGTTATAAGTATAGTTCTCCCACTTGCAACCCTACTTATAGCTACCCATGAACCTCCAAGTAGGGATGCAGGGAGTGCTGGGGTTCCGAAACTGGCCGAAGGTGGGGCGGCTCTCTTTAGGGTTTTTTTAATGTTAAAAGACCCTAAATGCGGGTGTTTTTAACGTTAAAACACCCTAAATGCTTGAGGGCAGTGCTTATATAACTTCGAAGCATCGAGCTACTTCAAGCTCTCCAAGCCCCACAAAACCTGAAATATTATTTCTGCAATTGCTCCTGATGTGCTATGTATGCCTAGCTATCTATACATGTACATATATACATACATACATATATATATATATATATATATTATATATATGTGCATGTGTATATATATATGATTCATATATAGGGTCCGGACCAAGGGTTTAGGAAGCCAGAGCGCGGAGATGTAGTCGAAGACCCGTGGGAAGGCGGTGATCACGCCCACCACGCGAGAAGGATTGAGGCCCTGCTCCCTGGGCAGATGACGAATGCTAGCCCACAGTTGAGGGTTTAGGGTTTAGGGCCGGGGTTCCTATATGGTAGCTTCAGGGCCCCAGAATATACTATGTAGTTACATGGGCCCTTAGGGTATAGCTTTGCTGCAGGCTATCTTCCGCTACCCAGCATTCCCGGATGGGCTCAAAGCTCGGGGCCCTTGTTACCCGATGGCCCAACTTCAACTTGCAAAACCGAAGCCTAAACCCTAAACCCTAAACCCTAAACCCTAAACCCTGAACCCCAAACCCTAAACCCCAAACCCTAAACCCTTAAACCCACCAAACCCCAGACCCAAAAGAATCCTGAAGCCTCTGCCAAGAGGCTGGAGGAAGTTGACCTTGGAAAACTGAACTGGAGACCCGGATTTCGACTTTAGGGGCTTCAGGGGCTTTGGGGGGACTGGGTTTTGAGGGATGTCTGACCTAAGCCTTCGCAAGACTAACACGCCAAGAAGCCCTGCCTCAAACTGCCCCCCCCCCCCCACAACTCCCACTTTCGCCCAGAACTAGCCTGAACCCTGCATAAGCCCTTAAGACTAAACCACTTTGGCCCATAAGGCTTGAAGCCATGCAGCCCATCCTCCCCAACCCCCAAGGTTCTTGAAACCCCAATAAAGCCTGCTACCTGGAGGTTCCTGCATCGTTACAAGTAGGGTTCTTGGTGCTCTGAATAAGGCTGTAAAAGACGTATCCCACTTCCTGCTTATAACAACCCATGAACCTCCAAGTAGTCCCAAGCCCTTTTGCACCAAACCCTAAACCCGAAACACTAAAGCCTCCCAAATGAGGTCCCAAACTCCTAGCTGGGCGGCCACGGGCCGCAGCTTCCTTAGCTGGTGTCGGAGGGCTTGGTAGGTTGGGATGTTTCCCCCAGGGTTTAGGGTTTAGGGTTTAGGGTTTAGGGTAATACTAACAGTCCTTAATTTAATAGGGAGGTACTCTGATCCCTATTCAGGCCTCTTAAGGGGGAACATACCAGCTGGTAGGGTGTAAGAGCTAGAGAGTTGTTTAAGGAGCCCAAGCCCCAAAAAGTGAAATACTCAAAGAATCCCCAACACAGATTCACAAAATATGACATTCTATCACTTTCTAATATCAAGATATTCTGATATTCTGATACTCTGATACACGGAACATGATTACGCAGACAATATATATATATATATATATATGCTTCGCACCCCTCAACCTTGCGAGGGACTAAAATGGGACCGAGGTTGCATGATCTGGAGGCGCCCACGAAAGGTTCGCCCCGAGTGCGAGAGAGCAGTACTTGGAGATAGACTCTACTTACTAGACCCGGGACTACAAAAGGGCCCCCCTTTGGGCTTGAAAGGGGCTTATGATATAAGGGAAACTAAGCCAAACCCTGAAACAAGGGGAGGGTTTAGGCTTTAGGCTTTAGGCTTTAGGCTTTAGGCTTTAGGCTTTATGCTTTAGGGTTTAGGGATAAGGGCCGATTCTGATCCTAGAGCATCTCTTGTTTCTTGCTGCCTTTCGCCCAGCTTCGCGTCGATGTCCATGGACAGCAAACCCGGGTGTGCGCTCAGCACTCTGATCCACTGACCGTTGCTCAGGCCGACCTCATCGTTCACTTGAGAGCTTAGGGTTTACGGGCTTCACATTGCCAAGGCCTTGGTTTTGGAGACATGTAGTTACAGCAGCAACATACTACGTTTCTGGAGAACTCAGTTTTCAGGCCTCAGTTCCCAGGCAGCAGACTGGAGCCGGCGTTTTGTTCACCCCGCCCCCCCCCCCCCTTCCTCGTCCGCTACTCTAGCATGCAAAGAGTCCTGTGCGGGCTGCTACGTCCTATTGCTTTCTTCGAGAAATGACCTGAACATGCCGCGTGAGTGCGCAGCTACCTGCCGCCAGAGCGTCACTCTTACTTGTGTTTACTGAGGGTTTGGTGTTCTAGGGATTGAGGGGGGCGCAAGGGGTGTTGGTGCTGCGGAGCCCGAAAGCTCAGGGTCTCGGCGTGGCGAAGCACCCTCACAGGACTTCGGGACGTTTAGGGTTTTGCCAACGCTGAGGGCTAGGGGTGCTTTCTCCTCCTTCAACTAACCCGTAGACTTGGGATGTCCCTCTTAATTATACGAACAGTCCTTCATAGGGATCTTCATAGGGGGTACTGCAATCCCTACTAAGGAGCTGTGAGTAGAAGCTGGAGCATCCCAACCGCAAACCCTAAGCCCCGCCTCTGACAAGAAGTCCGCGTGCGGCTTGAAAGAGAAGGAGGAGCCGACGTTCAAGTTGGAAGGCCACCTCCCCGGAGTGGGCTTAGGGCCTTTGGGGTTTAGGGTTTAGGGTTTAGGGTTTAGGGCCAAGTTTAGGGCTTCGGGAAGCTTGGGGTAGTTTAGGATTCAGGAGGTCTGTGAATCCGGGACCAAAAGCTTGAACTGCAAGCCTTAGTTACAGCCGAAGCCCGTTAACAACCTCAAGAAAGCCACAAAACATCGACAGCAACACCCTAAGACACCCTCATATGTCCAAAACCCCCAACACCTAAACCCCGAAAGAAAGAGCTAGACCCTTTTTACGGCTAGGACTGCTGCACTGCCTGCCCTACCCTAAACCCTAAACCCCAAACCTGAAAAGCTCAAAACAGCTGAAAGCGCCGCCGAGGCCCCCACAAAAGCTGGGGCGACCGCACCACCGGGAACCGTAAGCCCCCAAGCCCCAAAGCCCTGAGGGAAAAGCGTACCCTGAGGCCCTAGGCCCAGCTGTCCCAATTTTCTGGTGCTCCTCTTGGGCCTTGCGTCTTAATTGAAGCCCCAATATCTCTGTGTTCTTGGGGAGAGAAACGACTCAACACACTTGTAGGTTTCCTGGAGAAAAAGGTGCCCTTTTTCAATGGGCCGATAAAAGAGCACTAAAAAAGGGATCGGGGTGCTGCTACTCACAATTGCATCCTGCACCATGCCTGATCTTTGCAATGACTCGTGTTGGTTTTGTATAGTACCCCCCCCCATTATAATCCCTGTTAAGGAGCTGTTAGTAGAAGGGGGAACATCCCAACTCTAAACCCTAAACCCTAAACCCCAAGCCCCAAACCCTAAAACCTGCCTCTTAAAAGTCCTGATGATGTCATGTTGGCTGAAACCCATCCTTGGATGGCAGTCATATTCACCACTTGGAGGTTCATGGGTAGCTAGAATCAGAGCTTATAAGCACCCCTCAGCCCTAAGTAAGGCTATATGATACATGTATAGTTACCCTGATTATTATCCTGCTGCTAACTACTGTACATATGAACCTCCAAGTACAGCTGACGGCATGTAAGCAACTGGCCTTGCGACCCTATTACGTCAACTTCCTTGGCATGTAGACTTTATGGCTTTAAGGCTCCAGGAGGAGCAAGACGCCTGAAGCTCGCTAGCTCCTGTAAACCCTCTACGCAATGGTATCCTAAACCCTAAGCCCTAAACCCCAAACCCTTTCCCCGGAGCACAGCATCGGTCCAGCACGTTCGGCCATGCCCTCGGGGAGAATTTCAGAAACCCACTCCCTAAGCAGTCGACCCGCACCCGCCGCCCTCAACCCAAGACACTGAACACCCAGCCGATGATACACCCCATTCACGGTTTAGGGTTTAGGGTTTTTTTGCCACCCGCCTAGCTGAGCCAGAGAGCCACTCCGCAGGGACAAGTCGGGGAAACGGTTCAGGGTTTAGGGTTTAGGGGGACGCCACAGGGTTGGTGGTCTATAGGCTTCGCGTGACAGCCCAGAAACTAGCTTTCCAAAAGGGTACATTTTGGAAAGGGTTGGTTGCTTTATAAGAAAACTTTGAACCAACAAAGGGGGCACAAGGGCACCACAGGGCTACCAAGACTATAGACCCTAAACCCGAAACTCTAAACCGGAAACCCTAAACCCTAAACGTGTAAGGGAACGGCCACATCCTTCCCGGACAAGCTGCTCTCCAAGCTCCGAGACCATGGATTGCAGATCGCTGCTTTGGCCAAGGCCTTGGTGGAGAAGCGGTTTAATGGGGTTTAGGGTTTAGGGTTTAGGGTCTAGGGTCTAGGGTCTAGGGTCTAGGGTCTCGCTAGCACGCGCTGAGCTGCTGAAGAGAGTTGCATGTCAGGGGCACATCAAGCTGGCAGCACAAGAGGGCTAAAGGGGAAACTGACAAATCATGCCCTGAACTAAGCTACCTAGTTGCTGAGTACCCTGGGCCAAAAAAGGTTCACCTTTCACTTCTGGTAGGACTATACATACCCCTAAAAGGGTTCAAGGTCACCTACTCAGCTACTAGGACTAGCTCCCGGACCCGCCTCTCTGACAAGAACAGCTCTGTAAGCAGGCCGACCCAACTTCCGATGCATTCAGCAGCCGCTCAAAGAACCCAGAAGCCCGAAGCTACCCGAGCCGCGTAAGCCCCCAAAACTTGCCTCCCTAGCCCTTTTTTGCATCCGGGCTATGTCCTGGCCGGAAAGTCTTAGCAACACTAGAACCCTAAACCCTAAACCCTAAAGCCTGAACCCTAAACCCCCCAAAGGTTTTGCCCAAAGGCTTGTCGGCCCAGGATCTGGGAGAGTTTTTGGGAGGGCGGAGGGTTTAGGACGCTGACGTCGGGGGGCCTTTGAAGGAGGTTTAGGGTTTAGGGTTTAGGGTTTAGGGTTTAGGGTTTAGGGTTTAGGGTTTAGGGTTTAGGGAGTTCTCTAAACCAGGGTCCCTTTTTTTGGGGCACTAAGGACCCCAAAGGGACCAATATTTTAGAAGTGGCCATGCTAATTCAATATTGGGTGGTTGTCAAAATTCTGATCCTGTTTGGGGTACCCTAAGCATTAGGTGCCGTATTATACTAGGGATCCAAAAAGGGACCGTCACTTTGACAACCACCCAATATAGTTTTGTGACCAGGACTCTCCCATATAGGCTGGAAATCACCAAATAATTATTTTGTAAAAAAAGTGTGAAATGTGTATGATCCGAATGTGTGAACAAAGATTGAAATAAGTGTTCCCAGGAGATTCGGAGAGCTCACTGAAGTGTAAAATAAGTGTGAAAAATGTGTGAAAAATCTGTGACCATCTCTCCTTCCGTCTGAAATAAAAGTGTAGAATAAATGCGAAACATTGATAATCCGTTGGTGAAGGATTATTAATGATTATTAGTCCAATATTTCTTTCCTGCTGCTCGGGCTTAAGGGTTGCAGCCAGGTTGCAGGGCTAGGGCTACAGGGATAGGCATTTTGCTTTGAGGGTCCACGATGTTTATGGTTGAGGTTTGTGTGTTTCTGTTCGGAGTCTGGGGTGTTGGGGCGCAGCTCTTCAGCTGCAGCTATTGGCTGTTAGTGCGCCTTCAGCTGGCTTGGCCTGTAAAGGTATAGGCCAGGCCAGGCCAAGCCTACCCCCTCTTAAGCCTTCCCAGCTTCGGGGGGTGGTGGGGGCGGGTGGCGGCCGGAACACTTTTTTCACACTTTTGGGGGGCAGGGCATGAGGGGTGTGCTAGGGTGCCGGGACACTTTTTTCACACTTTTGTGAGGCCGCGCACGCGCGCTCCCCGGTGTGGGCTTGTGAGGGCTTGTGCTGGTGGGGGCGGAGGGCTTGGTAAAAGTGTGAAAAAAGTGTGAAAAAAGTGTGAAACAAGTGTGAAAAAAGTGTGAAAAAAGTGTGAAACAAGTGTGAAAAAAGTGTGAAAAAAGTGTGAAAAAGTGTCCCGGCCGCTCCCCCCCCCCCTCCCCCACCCCCCGCCCGCCCCTGCCCCACGCCCCACACCCCCCCAACACCCCCCACGCCCCCCCGCACCCCGCCCCCCCTCCCCCTCGCACGGTTCCTTGAAAGGGTCTGGGGTCCCAAACCCATGGCGCACCCCGCCCCACCGCCCCCCCACCTCCCCCCGCGCCACCCCTCCCCTCTTGGGCCATGCGATCTGTTGAGGCAGTGCAATACTCCAAACACACACCCATAACATCACAAAAAACGAAAACACACACCACACACGGAACACCGAAACATCACAAAACCAAGTCACAAACAAATCACAAAAAAAAACAAATAAATCACAAATAAAACACAAATAAATCACCAACAAAACACAAAAAAATCACAAACAAGTCACACCGAAATCGCATAGCCAGGACCTGCCAAATCCTGATTCAAACAAAAATCACACTTGCCGATCACAAGCAAATCACAAATAATTCACAAAAACAATTCCCAACCCCTCTCTCAGACAATACAGGCAATCCTGGTCTTAAATATAGTTAAGGGAAGGTTTTCTGGGATCGGCACCAAGGAATTGCTGCCGCCTTGCGATGATCCTCCGGGTTGAACATTGAGGCAGGTAGGGTTGAGGGCTTGGGCTTTAGGGCTTTAGGGCTTTAGGGCTTTAGGGCTTTAGGGGTTTAGGGCTTTAGGGGTTTAGGGGTTTAGGGGTTTAGCGGTTTAGGGGTTTAGGGGTTTAGGGGTTTAGGGGTTTAGGGACCTCAGGCCCTGTAAGCCCTTTGAAGGCGACCCTATACAACCTCTAAGCGGCCCAAAAACGCAACTCATGAACTTTGGTATGTTCTCCTTAATAGGGATCATAATACGCCGGATTGTAGTCCCCATTAAGGAGCGGCTAGTATAAGGGAGAACATCCCAAGCTAGCTAAACTCCTTGAAGGAGGCAGTCCTGGCAAGATGCAGAGGTGATAGACCTCCAGGTGCAGCAGACAGCTCTAAGGAAGCTTGCGTCTTCAAGACTCGCACTTTCGGAACCATCCCAAGCTCCAACGCACCGTTCACCATGGCAGGCGCGTGCATTTCGTCACAGTGGGCACACCCCCCCCCCCACCCCACCCCGCCCGCCGAACAAAACCAAAAATCAAGAACAGCAGCGAGCACCCCAATGGAACAACCCCAAACCCAACAAAACTTCAAACACCACGGCTTGTAAATGCTTGTAATCTAATCCTTCTACAGAAAAAAGGCAACGGCTTGGGTTCCAGGCTTTGGGCTCTGAGGTTTGCTGCAAGAACCAAGCAACTGCATCCCCCCTGGATTTGAACCGGCAGCTTCTATGAGCCCTTCTCTTGAAAGCAACCTTGAGTAGGGTTTAGCTATACTTATAACCTTACTTAGGGTACTTAAAACCCTACTTCTAACAACTGCATGAACTTCTAAATTGCACACCCCGACTGCCCAACCCCGTATAGACCCTCAACTCACCGCTTCAGGGCTCGGCATATCCCCCTAAGGGTCCATGTATGTAATTAGTATATACTTGGGCCTTAAAGTACCTCCTATACAAGGACTTTAGGGCCCAGGTATATAATAATGAGGTACATGGACCCTTAGGGTCCTTTATTGTTGCTGAGTTTATTAAGGGAACCTTCAAACAGTGAACGTGAGGGTGCTGCTGGTGTCGTGAGCCTTCAGGGCCTAAGGAACCCAAAGAGCCCAATACCTCTTAAATAAGGAATATACCTTAAATCATATGGGGATCCTGAATATGATTTAAGGTATATTCCTTATTTAAGGGCTATTGGGCTCTCTGGGAATGCATACAAGCACAAAGAGCCGGCTAATTCGGCCTAGCTCTTCCACCGAAGATGCCAGGTTCCCTCGGCTTCGTTGAGCTCACCGCCGAGGTTTAGGGTTTAGGGTTTAGGGCACCATCACAATCTAAACCGGCGAGGGCGCTGGGAGGTGCGAGGGGTTGTGCTGAGCTGCTGCTGATACCTCTCCCGACAGAAGGATGTTCCACGAAACCCTGCACCCCACGTGCTTTGTGGAAACCGCACATATCCCACCGAAGCACCCTGCCTCCCATCTGCTCATCCCAAGAGCCCGACTTCAGCTTAGGGCTTTCGGGGTGTGCAGCTTTAAGGCCCTAAACCCTAAACCCTAAACCCTAAACCCGAAACCCTAAACCCTAAACCCATGGATGTGACAAAGCTCCTACGGAGAGGTTGTAGCCCACGATGTGCGGATGCTCCTGGAGGATCCTTGCCTTCGGTCTTGGGAGGGTTTGGGGTTTAGGGTTTAGGGCGCTGAAGGCTTAGGGACAGAGATGGTTCGACAAGGGTATTGAAGCCTTCCACTCTCCATTCAGAGGTCTTGTGATATGGGTTTGGAGGTGTTTAAGCTGCGACTTAGGTTCGTCATCTCATGTGCAATCTACGGCTGCCTGTTTCTAGTGGAACTGCTGCCTCTGCAGTGACATGCCTAAACAGGCTGCAGACATTCCAGACAAGTACCGCTCCAGCTAGTTCTTGATCAATCTGCCGCTGATGTAGCATCTGTCTACCTATCTAGTGCAATATGTATACCCCCCTGCCAGTTCAGGCTCTCTGTGCCCCGGTGTGGTGAACAAAACAGAACGCAAAGTCCAGGACGCACGGACGCCCAGACAAACAACCATCCGAAAGGGCTCTGACATTTCATCGCTCTCCTGATTAACAGCAAGATGGGGGGGTGGGGGGTACTGCCCAGACCCAGCTGGAGCAGCCCCGTCAGCAGGGGTCCAAGCAACTTCTATTTTGGGAAGGTTTCCAGCGGCACAAACCGGAAAAAACCAAAATCACATCAAGCCGCAAGGCTAACGGCCAGAGGCCAAGATCCTAAACCCTCATCCCTAATCCCTAAACCCTAATCCCTAAACCCAAAACCCAAAACCCAAAACCCTGAAACCCTAAACAACCATCTTGGGCTGCCATGTTGTGTCGCAAGGCGTGAAAAACTTGCAGGACCTATAGGGATGTTTAGGGTTTAGGGGGTTTCGGGTTTAGGGTTTTAGGGTTTAGGGTTTAGGGTTTAGGGGGTTTCGGGTTTTAGGGTTTAGGGTTTGGGGGGAGTTCTCTGCAGAACCTTTGGCTATCAAAGTTTCGAGCCAGGTGGCCCACTTCTCCTTGCTCATGCCAACCTCAGCCAAGGCCTTGGCCATAGGGGCTGGAAAGCCCGAAAGCCATAAATGCAAACGCCTATGGAGGAGGGCGGGATCAGGGAGGGATCGATGATGGTTCTCTGTCCGAATCGGCATTGCAATTCCAACTTTCATGAAGGCTCCCTTGTACAGCTCGGGCCAAGGCAAAACCTACGCCTGAGACTCTAAGCCACACATCCCACACGATCTCAAGCCTTGACTCACTGCGTCATGAACCCTGAGATCACACACCAACGACACAAACTCGCCCAGCTTCCAGACCTACAGCCCCTAAGAAGCAATTCATCACTTGCACCATGGCACGTCACCATCCGCTGGGAAGCAGAGCAGTGTCTGCCTCAGCTACGCTGGAGGGTCAACTGTCTCTCGGCTTACAACCTGTTACCTTTTTCCTGGGGGTTTCCGAAAATAGTTTTTTTTTTTTTTTTTTTTTTTTTAAATTTTACTTGGGGTATGAAAGCGTACCCCTATTTTGGGAAACCCCATATCTTAAGAGTTACTTTAAAGTGTTGGAAATGAACCAAAGTAAGCCGACTTACAACCAAGTCGCGTCAGTAAGAACAGAAACAGATAGAAAGAGCTTTTTGGCTGTCCAGGCGATCCTCCTGTCACTCTGGTTCTTGAGGTTTACAGGGATTCCCTGGCGGCGCTGTTGAGAAGACAGTCTACATATCTAGGGAGTTACATGGTTTTTAGGCCGGGCCCTAAAAAGGGACCCCTTAAAACAAAAAAAAACAGCTTACATACCCTATAAATTAAAACCCAAGGGCCCATGCTTCAAACCTTTAAAGACGTAAGGGACCATAATAAGAGACCACGAAACTACTCTTAGAGGGCATGTCCGCACGATGATCATGTCCATGTTACCAGTGCATGCGAATGGCCACCGCATCGATGTCCACACGGTTACCCGTGCGTGCGAGTGGCTGCGCGCCACGGAGACAAAAAAAGAATGTCGGCCTTGGATTTTCACATTTTTTCCCGGACCTCAAGGCGAGGGTTTCTACACTTTCCAGGGTTGCCTTGCGTTGACTGCCTCAAAACATCGTGAAACAAAGTGCTTTGAACGTGCGGCCCGAAATCAGAGGGCACATGCGAGTTTTGTTTTTTAAGGAGCGGAGGGGGGGGGGGGGGGGGAGATCATTATCTTGTGGGAGATACGAGTGCACGGATCCGTGGGAGAGGGGGGGTGGATGGCATTGTTATTGTTATTTCTCCACCCTCGGTGTGGGCTGTTAGAGAACAATAAAGAAAGCAGAAATACAGAAAGAAATAAAGAAAGAAAGAACAAAGCAAGAAAAAACGAACGAAAAAAAAAACTATATCAATTTGAAACTTGTTGAAACCCATCATGTGGAGGGGGGGGAGGGAGGGGGGGGGACGGGGGAGAGGGGGGGGGGAGGGGGGGGCGGGGGTTCACATGCCCCCTGCGATTCCTTATGTGTGCTAAGGCAAACGTTGTGGGTACCTATACAAGGACTTGCAAGCCAAAGTTGTTGCAGTTGTCAATCCGGTTGATTATTCCTCTTCTAATTTCGCTTCGTGTTTTTGAGTTCATGGGTTATTCGCATCCTCACGCCAACACAGTTAAACAATATGAAATAAATATTCACAGTGCTGCAGAAAAAGAACCCGGCACTGTCCAGACGATGCCATCCAATAGGCTCAAAATAGTTGCGGGGAGCCTCGTGAACTACATCAAGAGTCCTGTGTTGATCAAGAGGGTTTTTGCAAGACCAAGGCAGTGTTTCCCTTCTCCTCTTCGCTCCTTACAAAGCTCCTTACAAAGCGCATTAAAGATCAGCGCGCAACTGTCAGACAACCAGGTGCGACAGCTTTCCTTGAACAACAAACCGAATCATGATTCTAGTTTGATAATCTTCAAACTGTTCACGGCACGCAAGGTCATCGGTGATTCCTTCTTAGCAACGAATAAACACCAATAAGCGAGATTATGAAGTTAGCAAGCCAAGGCTGTACTTCTTCGCATCTGTCGTTCAGTCAATCCTTGTAGAACCACTACCTGTTAAAGAACCTTCACAAGAGCGATATGCGAGACGCTTCATATAAGTTTCTATACTTGGTAGGATTCGGCCTGTATGTTCAACAATGAGCAAACTCAAAGCATCATCGAAAGTCGCTTCCCAAATCGCAACAGCGTCAATCCCGCAACTAGCCGTGCAAACCTGGGTCCAAACCATCAGCGACCAAGGCCCTTCAACAACCACTAAACCGAAGCTAGAAGGGGTGGACATTTTTTGGGCCCTAAACCCTAAAACCTAAACCCTAAAGCCTGAACCCTAAACCCTTCCCTTTAGGGTCGCCCCAGCTAGAAGCCCTGCTTCTTCAGTCTAGGAAGCTGCACGTCGCGTCTCAGCGGAAGATGTTGGAGGAGGGCATCAGCGGTTCGGCGCAGCGCCTGGTTCTGAATCTGGTTGATGGCGGTCTGTGGGCTTAAGGTATTTTTTAGGGGTTTAGGGCTTAAGGTCTTTAGGGTTTCTAGGGTTTAGGGTCTAAATCTTTTTTGGGTTTAGGGTTTAAGGTTGTGAATCTGGTTGATGGCGGTCTGTGGGTTTAAGGTTTTTTGGGGTTCAGGGTTTAAAGGTTTCTGGGGTTCAGGGTTTAAAGGTTTTTGGGGTTCAGGGTTTAAAGGTTTTTGGGGTTGGGTCTTTAGGGTTTAGGGTTTAAGGCTTTTAGGGTTTAGGGTTTAAGGTTTTTAGGCTTTAAGGTTTGGGGTTTAAGGTTTTTGGGGTCCAATCCCTAAGGCCCGAGGTATGCTGAAGAGTTCCGGTGAGGTCCGGCGCAACTTGCTTGAGTTGGCTGGGACATAGCAGGGCATGGGATAAGCCTAAACCCTAAACCCTAAACCTTAAATCTGAAATAAATCATTGGATTCTCAGCTTCACTCAAGAGGTTTGGAGCAAGGGCCCCTGTTAGGGGAGCCTTGGGCATGCAATTGTGCTAAAAACTGCCACGAAGGGCAGCACAAGAAGAAGCCCCCGAGTGCAGAGCCAACCCTCCCCCTCTCCCTCCCTCTCTCTCTGTCTCCTTCTCTCTGTCTCTCTCTCTGTCCTCTTTCTGTCTCTCTCTCGCTCTCTCTCTCTCTCTCTCTGTCTCTCTGTCTCTCTGTCTCTCTCTGTCTCTCTCTGTCCTCTTTCTGTCTCTCTCTCGCTCGCTCTCTCTCTCTCTCTCTCTGTCTCTCTGTCTCTCTCTGTCTCTCTCTGTCTCTCTCTGTCTCTCTCTGTCTCTCTCTGTCTCTCTCTGTCTCTCTCTGTCTCTCTCTGTCTCTCTCTGTCTCTCTCTGTCTGTCTGTCTGCCTCTCTCTCGCTCAGTGCCACCTGTCAAGGAACCCGCGTCACTTAGCAAACCCAGAACGCGATCACTTGGCCAATCGGGAAACCAAATGGTTTGCGATCACTTAGCAAACATTCTTACGATCACTTAGCCAACTCTAGCTTTCAGGCTAGGTTTTGGCTTTACGGTTTAGGGTTTAGGGTTTGGGGTTTGGGGTTTAGGGTTTAGGGTTTAGGGTTAAGGGTTTAGGGTTTAGGGCTTCTCTTACCTTTCAGGGTTTAGGGTTTAGGGTTTGGGGTTTAGGGTTTAGGGTTTGGGGTTTGGGGTTTAGAGTTTAGGGTTTAGGGTTTAGGGTTTCGGGTTTGGGGTTTAGGGTTTAGGCTTCAGGGTTTAGGGCTGTTAGTTTTTTGTTGGGTTTAGGCTTTGGGTTTAGGGTTTAGGGTTTAGGGTTTAGGGTTTAGGGTTTAGGGTTTAGGGTTTAGGGTTTAGGGTTTAGGGTTTAGGGTTTAGGGCTTCTCTTACTTTTTAGGGTTTAGGGTTTCCTTTAGGGGTTTAGGCTTTGGGTTTACGTTTTGGGGGTTGAAGGGGTACAAGAGCTCCAAAAATCAGCGTGCTAAGCGATCATGTTTTTGAGCGTGCTAAGCGACTGAAAAAAAGAAGTTGGCTAAGCGACCCCTTTTTACCCCTGTCAATCGCGCAAGGGCGCCGCCACTACTGGGCAGGCCGCCTAGAGTTAAGCTTCCCAGCTCGGCCTTCTTGACGCCCGATTCATCCCCCAGCTGCCAGGGCTCCACGACCACCTCCAGGCAATTGCCCTCCACTTTCAAGCCTCAACTGCAGCGCTGGTATTCTTACTATTGGCATTCTACGACCTTGTACTCTGAGTATTGGTATACAACATCTATACTAGGGTTTAGGGTCTAGGGTTCAGGGTTTTAGGGTACATTCTCTTATTAACATATGGTTGCTTAATTCTTTTTTTAACATAAGAATACTTAACTCCTGCGCTTGTTGTTTTTCGTTTGTGGTTGGTGCATGTTGGCGTGTGCGTAGGCGTGGGCGTTTGTTGACGGTAAGACTGTCCTTCTCCTCTTAGAAGGCCCTAAACCCTAACCCTAGACCCTAAAGCCGAAAAAAAAAACAAACAAGAGAGCCTGCCACTTTTGATTTCAAGCGTGCCCGCCCCAGCCAACCCTGCAGATACCTGAATCCTCAAGGCCCCATAGGTCCCGGTGGTTCCAGTATCTGTCCGAAACCCCAAACCCTAAACCCCAAACCCTAAACCCTAAACTACCCGCTTGAAGCTGCCCCCTGAACCGAGGATGGCACTGCGGAACGATGACGAAAACGCGTGCCGTTTTATCTTAATTATCTTGCCTGTCCTCCTCTCTTTCATGACGCCCAAGAAAGGAGCAGAAGCGACAAAAGGAATAGATGAAGGAAGAGTAGGGAAGGAGATGAGGGAGTCCTTTCTCTCCATAGGTAGTGAGAGAGCTTCTCATTTCCTGCAAGTGCCACAGCATCAAAACCCCGTGAACTAACGCTGCAAAGAGATATCCCTTATGTGTCACTATCCGGCTTGGGGCGGCCGAAGCAGGTATCCCCTCCTAAGTCGCTCTCCCTCGCTGGACTTGCCCAGTTCACTCTTGACCAGAGAAAGCTTCCAGATTCATCCGTGCCCAAAAGTCATAGTGGGCGTAGCAGGCTCTCTTCGCAAGGGCGACAAGTCAGACTCGGGTGGCCCATTCCAGGCCTCTGCAACATATTCCTAGCTAGGATCCTCCTAAACCCAGTAAGGGGAAGATATACAATATCTCAAGGGCCTACCTAAACCCTAAACCCTAAACCCTAAACCCTACCTTGTAGTCAGCTTAGGTGCCTCTCTGCTCATGGGCCACGCGCACCACGTAGGATCCTGCCACGCTTGCGAGGGTACTCTTCGAACCCTATAATAGCCCTAAATTTAGGATTTAGGGTATTTAGGGTATTTGGGGTATTTAGGGTATTTAGGGTATTTAGGGTATTTAGGGTATTTAGGGTATTTAGGGTTTGGGGTTTAGGGACCCTGCACCCTATAAGCCCTAAGCCCTACACCGCCAAAAGGGGAGAGAAAGTCGCGATTCGACCTTCCGGGGCTATGTCCGAACCATGCACTTCAGGGTGCAGGCTACCGAGGGGCAGCAGAAAAATGGGGGTTTAGGGTTTCGGGTCTTCTGCGGGTCTAGGGTTTAAGAGTCAGGGTTCAGACGGGGCCTGGTAGCAGGACGGTTCATCTTCCGCGGTCTCAAGCCCCAACAGGTTCTGGGTTTCGGGGTTGTTCTGAAGCCCAAACAATACATGTACATTATACACATATATATATATATATATCTCTCTCTCTCTCTCTCACTCTCCTACATGCCGGGACCCCTGAAACATCCCAAAAGCTTAAGCGTTTGGGAATTGTGAACCCCGTTCGAGCACGTTGCAGTCCCTCCTGGTGGTGCGAGGCGCAGAAGAGCCTCCTGAGCTCCGGGCTTCTTTAAGGGGTATAAGGAGGGACCCCTAGAAGGGACCCTTCATCTTATTCCCCTATCCATAACATATATATATATATACATATATATTGTATTTATATATATATATGTTATATTATAGTCCCTATATACCTATCTAGCCCCCAGGTTACCCTTGAGCCCCTTGAGCTTCGACTCACGCGCTCTCAGCAAGGCTACGGGAGAGGTCTCCGGTGCTCAGGATGCTCCTTTCCTACCTCTGGAGTAGGACCCTGGGAAGAAAAAGGGTATATACCATTTAGGTAGAAGTGCTATAATTGGGAACCCAGAACCAACAAAAAAACTAAAGTGTAGTACTCCAGAAATATACTATTTAGGTATAAGTGCTATAATTGGAACCCAGAACCAACAAAAATATTAAAGTCTAGCACTCCAAAGCCCAGTGTTTCTCAGGGCTGCAGATTACACAGAGCGATTGCTCCAAGCGCTGCCCTACCGTAGTTCCAGTCTTTTTGTCGCTGTAGTTGCTTCGGTTGTTTCGGGCTTGGGGGCGAAAGGATACTGGATTTGCAACCCATGGGGTTGGAGGTGAACCCTAAACCCTAAACCCCATAAACCCTAAACCCTAAACCCTAAACCCAAGGGCCGGAGGCATGGGCGACCTTTGGCAGCGAAGCCCCAAACGCCAAGCAAACCAGCTTTGATGCTCGGGCTTGTGGGGGAAAGTGGGGTTTAGGGTTTAGGGTCTAGGGTCTAGGGTTTTGGTGGCTTGAGCTACCGAAAGCTTCTTTTTTTTGTGCCTTTGAAGCCTGAAAACACGCTAGAACTCCACCCCCCAACTAAGCCGTTTAGCCATATCAACACTCCAAGCATCCCCCCCTAATCCCTAATCCCTAAACCCTAAACCTTGACCAGCATGCTCATCTCGATGAGCCCGTAGGTTTAAGGGGTCTGTTGAGTTCTTTTTTTCGGGCTGCTTTGGACTTACTTTGTTTGTGGCTTCCGTTGGTATGGGTGAGAACTTGAAGGGTCTCTCTTTGTTCTCGAGGTTCTGCTGTTTGGGCGTTGTTGGGACTTGTTCCGGCTCTGGGCTCAGCTAAGGTTTATACAACGGTCTTGGGGAGCATCGTTCTTGGGGCTTTCAGGCTGCCGGTTCGGCGTGCTAGTAGAGAACACTTCTCTCCCGATCGCTTGCCCAGCGTCTGTCTTCGCAACGTCGGCGGCCTTCCCCGCAGGCTGCAGGTGTGAAGGAGAACCATCATAGTCAACCTTTGCAGGGCCCAGGAAGAAGCCCTCTAAGGGAACATGGCGTGTGGGTCAGGCCCTCCCCTGAGTTTCCTGATATGGGGGGTGTACGATAATGAGGGACCCCCAATTACCCAAATAGTAGGGTCCCATGATAATAAGGATCCCAATTGAGGTACCCCAGATATCAGATATCGCAAACCCCCATATTGATGTTCCGAACCAGCCATGGGTATCCTGGGGTAGAGGTGCCAGGGAGTGACCGGCGTGATCGTTCTGGTGCTGGCTTTGTCAAATTCAATCTTATTTTGGTCGTTTCTGTAGGCTTGCACCCCTTTTGGGGACTCTGTGCGGTAGACCTATGGGAAAGTGCAATGAAATAGTTCGACATGCATGCGTCGGCGGAAGCAACGCAAAACCAGGTCGAGGCACGAAAAGCGCTGCGTCCTTGTCCTCAAGCACCTCAAAAAGCTTCAACCCTATAGCCCTTGAACATGCATGGGTTCCCCCAGAAGCAGTGCCAAAAGGCAACCCGTTTGAGAATGCCCTGCAAAGTGAAGGAGTGTAAGCCATGTACTCCCCCTGCTTTGCCGGACCCTGAGATTGGGCCAAAACCCGAGGTGCAAACCCAATGGCGCCAGCGGGTGAGGATTTAGGGATACCTAAAAAACACCAAAACAGAGGCCTCAAATCTAGGGTACGTCCCCCACGTTTGCCGCGCAACTTTGATGCGAGTGCTCAGATCTGGGTGGGACTAGTAAATCTTGAACTTGGAGAGGGTCGGAGAGGGTTTGTACATGCATCACCACGTATCAAGTTCATTGGCAGGCGCAGAGGTTTCGGCACCCAATGATATTGCAGACGGCTTGCTAGAGTAGGCATGAATGTTTGCTTGAGGCAACACTTGCACTAGTTTGCACGTCTATGCGGTGTCTTGCAAAACCAGATACAAAACGTGCCACGAAACAGCTGCGGGCAAGGTTCTGTTTTAGAACCGGTGGTAGTTTTTTTTTCGGCCACATGATTTGTGCCCGGGCCTTCTTTGCTGTAGGAAGAGGCAAAACGGCTGCAAATAGCAGTGTTTTGGGCATGTTCGCAAACGGCATGAACACTTGTGACAGTGCGTCTGGTTGCAATAACATCAAACATTCTTCTGCAGCGTGTTTATTTTCGGCAAAAACGTGAAACAGTCCGGCGTTGTGGGCATGTGCACAAAAGACTTGTGACAGCGTGTCTTGTTCCAGAACTGTCAGTAAATGGCAGTGTTTTGGGCATGGGCAGAGTATCATGGTCGTAACCCCCCTGCTCCTGGTGACCCACGTTTTGTGCGTGGCGGACGTACCTTCTGTTGAAGGAAAAGGTTGCAGTAAGAGGCTGTCCCATGTTCACCCGTAGCTCAGTGTCCGCCCCGCAATTCAACTGACAAAACATGTATGCAAGAGACTTTAGTGTGCGTGATTGTTCGGCGGAATATGTGAGAGAGATACTCTGATGCAACATGTCTCGATGTTGCCTGTCGCAATGCCTTTGGGCTGCGGTCTGCCCAACAGCTTATTCAGACACTGTTCAGCCAAACACAAAACTACCCTCCAAAGCCGTTACGGTTGCCAATGGTACGAGCTGAGGCACACCATACGTTGCCAGCGCAGGGGGGAGTGCTCTTGGTTCACTCACCTGCCGGACACTCCGAGGCCTTTGCCTCGGAACCTGCGCGCGTGCGCGCGCGCGCGCGCGGGTGGGGTCGGCACCTCGCCTCGTCCTAGTTACCCTTGATACCCTTGGCAAGCCTTGAGTCCGAAGCCTTCAGCCCCAATATGGAAACTCGACACTTTAAATTTAGCTTAACAGCCCAGCGCCCAAAGCCCTGAAGCCAAAGACCCACTTCCCCAAAAAAAGGCGGACAGAACTCGAACGCTCAACCCAGCAAGGCACGCAGGCGCCTCAGACTGTGCCGAAAACTCACGGACGAGGTCTTCAGCTGGCTCCTCCAGCGGTGCTCAGTGAGGACATTTGGGGATATGGCTATCAGTACAGTTATAAGCGCTTTTACTAGCTCATGGTTGGGATAAGATTAAAGGTTTAAATGTTTATTCCTTATAGGGTTTAAGTACCCTTAAGCCTGTAAAATGGTACCCAACTATGACAAAGGTTATAATTGGTAAATAAGTACCATGAACCTCCAAGTATGGCTACAGGGCTTAGCTCAGATGACAACAGATCGAAACCCTATGCCCATGTCTTTAGGGCAGCAGAACCTGTTTTTTCTCTTCGGCTGCTGTTTGCGATGTGCGCCTTACTGGGCGATCGTTGAAAGCATGTGCACGAGGCTCCTGCTTCTGACGGACCCAGCTTCGCCGCCGCATGATTTTTGCTAAGATGTTTGCACTTGCACGATGTAGTTCGACATAAATATTATGGATGCAATCAAGGGCTTGCTACTTATGCGGGTCTCTGTAGCTTCTGAGCTACCGGAAAAGCATCCATGCAGAGTCAGCGGACATACCCAGCACCGACGCCGGAAGTTCTACAAGAGATATTTCACGGACACAGAGAAGCAACTCCGAGCGTCCTGCCTAGCTTGTCTTGGGGTTCTTTTGACAAAACAAGCTCAAGTATGCACCGAACCTGGCAAGAAAGGCAATCCGAAAGACCCCTGACTGGATCAACAGCTCAAGGCGTTTTGTTTAGGACTTTGGGGTACCGAGTTCTTGTGGGGGGTGGATTCCCTGGGGAATTGCAGCTTTTCTGGCAAGGACCGCGGGATAGAAAACCCCACTCACACCCTAAAGGTCAGCCGAAAACCCTGCGAATCCTCCGGCATGAGCATCTCTGCAAGGCTATGCAGAAGCATTTCCTCTGGAAAGGGGCCATCGGCTGAGGTCTGAAAAGCTCGGGGTTTTGGGCTTCGGGAGGGTGCAGACTTGAGTGTTAAGTCTGTTAGGTGTTGAGTGCCTCCTAAGTGCAGTTGTGCTGCAGGTAAGCCCAACAGTCTATCAGCAAGCCGCAAGGACCTGGCACCAATCCTCCTACATCCCAAACCAATCTCCCTGTATAGTAAGTCCCCGAGACTACGATCTACAGCGAGGTTTAGGGGTTCATTGGACAGCTCACCAGCTCGAGACATCACTAAAACCCTGATGTGTAGTAGGGTTTAGGGTTAAACCCGAAACCCTAAACCCCAATATTTTTTCCGACCAAATAGTAGGATCCCCTCAAAATGAGGACCCCAGTAAGGTACTCCTAATTTTGTAAACCTCCATGTAGTAGTCCCCAAGTCGTATCAAAGAAGTGAACCCTTCGCCACGAATTCTACGCCTCAAGTACACCTCACATGAGAAGCTGACCTGGCAAATTGTCCTCCCTCATACCTCATCCTAAGCCAATCCCAACCTCCGGCTCACTTGCCTCTAGATAGGCCCAAGCTGCTTTTTCTTCTCAACACATCCAGAATCACAAAAAAACAACTTTAAGACGCCCCTGGCACAGACACCTTGTTTTCGCCCGTTCATGCTCAGCTTCGTTTCATCTCGTCACCCCTAGCAACGCGAAACAACATGGAAAACATATAATAAAAACCTCGCCGCCTTTGAGCCCCAAGCCCGTGATCCCTAAATCCAACAAAGACTGAAACCCTAAGCCAGGAAGCCAACAAGCTGCCAACCCTTTCGCAAACCCTACTTGGAAGCCCTTTTGACCTAGTAAGTAGGGCTAGTAAGTTGGGTTATGGGGGATTCTTAGAGGGCTGCACTCTACTCTAAACCCTAAACCCTGAACCCAAGCAGTAGACTTGATAAGTCAAAAGGGCTTCCAAGTAAAACCCCAAACCCTAAACCCTAACCCTAACCCCTAAACCCTGAACCCTAAACCCGGAACCCCAAAACCCCAAAACCCCAAACCCCAAACCCCAAACCCTAAACCCTAAACCCTACCCCCCCCCCCCCCACATGCTCTAGCGTCCTCCTTGGGTCGATGCCGGAGCTTCTTCGCGGTGCTCTGCTGGAACCATAAAGGTGCCCCTGGAACAGGGTTTAGGGTTTAGGGTTCAGGGTTTAGGGTTTAGGGTTTAGGGTTTAGGGTTTAGGGGTTTAGGGGTTTAGGGGTTTAGGGGTTTAGGGGTTTAGGGGTTTAGGGGTTTAGGGGTTTAGGGGTTTAGGGGTTTAGGGTTTAGGGTTCAGGGTTTAGGGTTTGGGGATTATGAATTAGGGTTTAGGAGGAGCAAATGGTCTAAGGGCTTCTAAGGTTGTATTTTTTCTGGTGGGGGATGGTGGGGTTCACTTCATGGGCAGGTCTCCACCTGAAAGGAAGCTGTTGCCTTCACTATGCTCCCCTTAGAACCTTAATAAAAAAAACTGTTTAATATCCTCTTGGGTGTTATATATACAAGAACGAAAAATATTCCCAAGGGGGACAGAGTTTATGTACAGAATGGCTAGAAAGTATTGCTAAGAGGCCTGGGGGCTTTCTGGACCGGGGTTCCTTGAAGCTTAGGGTTACTGGCCACTCCTTAGATCACATCCCCTGGGGGGGATTTGGGGGCCCTAAACCCTATAAAAAATCTAAACTTCCATGGGCTATGAAGGGTTTTTAGGGATTAGGACCCATCGAAATTTAAAGCTTCTTCTAAATCCACTCAAGTCCCGGGCTAGGGCCCTCTAGGGGTGAGCAAAAGGGCTGCCTGAGGATGCCAGGCCGGCGCCAAGGGCCGCGCAGGCCAACACCAAGGCTTCTGTGCGCCTGGAGAAGAGGCGTGCGCGGTAGATAGTCAGCCCTAAACCCTGAACCCTAAACCCTAAACCCAGTCTTGAGGGCAATGTTAGGTCGCATGAAGGCACTGGCTCCTGTTGTTTTTTCATGTGGTCGTATCTAAATTTCGCATGAGATACAACTTCTAGAGTGTCACATCTCGCCACGGTGTCGTCCTTCTTTCCAGCATCTTTCTTTGGGTCACAGCACTGGGGGAATGAACCCTACAGCTCCACCATAGCGGAGGAGCAAGCGAACTCAAAAGCATGACTTTGTCTGAGGCATATCATACCTGCATTCACACTCCTCCCGCCCCCCCCTCCCTCCCGCCTAGCTTACAAGGTTCTGTTTCCCAATGATGGGGGCTTCTGGGCGGGCTCCCCTTGCACATGTTGAGGCCCAGCCTCCAGACATCACGACGAGCTTGTCCAGCTTGCGGCATGGTGCAAGCAGTGAAACTCAAAGCTTGAAGCCGGCTAAGCTGCGGCTCTCACGGTTTAGGGTTTAGGGCTAGGGTTTAGGGTTTAGGGTTTAGGGTTTAGGGTTTAGGGTTTAGGGTTTAGGGTTTAGGGTTTAGGGTTTAGGGTTTAGGGTTTAGGGTTTAGGGTTTAGGGTTTGGGGTTTAGGGTTTAGGCTTTGGGGTTTGGGGTTTGGGGTTTAGGGTTTAGGGTTTCGGCTCCTCCGAACTCCAACCTGTCTCACTGGGCAGTTTGCCCGAGCCCAGGGCTGCTCTCAACAGTTACGTGCGCGACACGACTCCACTCCCTATACTATATGTACTATAGAGAGGCCCAGCGTTGAACCCTGAACATGGCAAGTCTTCGAAACTTCTCTGAGTCTTGTGAGTTCCAACGCTCAAACTGTCCTGTGATGCAAAAGGGTTTAGCGTCTGGGGCCGCCCTAGTTGAGGGAGGGAGGGAGGCGGTGCACTTGGGAATAGTTGCACTTGGACCACCGGCTTGCAACGGTCAAAACCACAAACCCTGTAAGCTCCGAAGTCCCTACCAAGAAAGCACCCAAGCCCCCGAAAATCCCAACACACTAAACGCCACGGGGCCCAAAAGACAGCTGCTGCGAAGGACAACCGTGGAGGTCCCAGTGCCTTAACTGGGGTTGGCCGTCTGCGAAGGATAATTATGTTACCCTTCATGTAGAGGGTGGGGGGGGGGGGGTTGGTCAAGCCATTCACTCGTCGTGTGGAGGATCGTTCTGGTCCCGTGGCCGTCAACGCCTCAAACCCTTAAAGCCCTTCGTGTATCTGAACCCCTTCATGCGAAAACCCCCCGCAGGCCCCTTCATCAAACTTCCCTTCATCAAACTTCAGCACCTAAGAGATCAGAGCTGTCTTGCCCAAACAGCTAAACCGATTGCAGCCCTAAACCCTGAACCCTCAAACCTGAAACTCGGAACCTAATCCCCTCGACCATCATCGTTCAAAGATCCCAGACTCCCCCTGCAGTACCTAAGCCGGCCATGCCCCTCGAAGCTGAACTCTAAAACAGGGGCCTTAATGATTCGAATCGGGTTTTTGGGTTCTTTATCGTATAGGTACATAGGGACAATTAGGGAATTCCATTAGTAAGTATTCCGACCCCTCAATATGACAAGGTTGGCACATGCTCCATTTTGAAACCACAGGACCAACCCGACCCTGTCCCAGCCATGAGCACACAAAGAAAGGGACCTTGGACCAGATCCGTAACCCTAAACCCTAAACCCTAAACCCTAAACCTAAACCCAGTAGACTCCCTAAGCCCTTGTAGCCAAGCCCTGCCCAAGCCTCGGGAGGGGGGCCGGCAAAGGGCGCCTCGGGGCGAAACGCAGCAGCAACCTGGCAGCGCGTGCGAAGGAGTCCCTGTTCCCTCTTCTACTTCGAGGTTTAGGGTTTAGGGTTTAGGGTTTAGGGTTTAGGGTTTAGGGTTTAGGGTTTGGGGTTTAGGGTTTAGGGTTTAGGGTTAAAGTTTAGGGTGTAGGGCTCAGGGCTGCTTGGAGGTTCACAGGCAGTGAAAAAAGGTGGGGTTTATACGCATGGTAACTATGACTATAACCGGTTATTCCCCGCATTGAGGGTACTTATACCGCTACTTATAACTACCCAAGAACCTTCAAGTAGCATGTTTTCGAGTCTGCTGAGCTCATCCGAACGCGGAGCGTGTCTTGACATGCTGCAAGAAGGCGGCCCCCGAACTTCGTCAAAGTCAACTTGCTAGGCTGTGGGCGAAACATCCGGTTCATCACGACGTTGGCTCAACCGCGCTATTGTTGTGGGCTCCTCCTCCTCCTCCTCCTCCTCCTCCTCCTCCTCCTCCTCCTCCTCCTCCTCCTCCTCCTCCTGCTCCTGGACCCGTCTGCGTGTTCACTCGTGCCGCAATCGTCGACGGTGCGCATATCGACAAACGAGGCAGCAAGCAATTAGGGTAATCCTCCCTTCATACAGCTGAAATGGGAATGGGGGGCACTGGAGCGACACAGACTTCGCAGGATTGATCAGAAGGCGCATTGCACCGCGTGGGTAGTCCTGGGCCTCATTCGGCACATCCAGCTTGCCGGTAGCATGCATCGAGCATTCGACACAATTGACAAATTGCCCCGTGTCAATCCCAGGAACAAGGGACAGACGAAGTACCACCTGGACCAACAAGTTGTCAAGTGGAACCTCGTAGCCAAAATCTTGAGCCAGACACGCCCGAGACGCTGAACCCAAAACACCCCTAAGCCTCACACCCCCCGCGCTCTCTTTTTTTCTGCTACGCAAGCACCGACAGAAGTGCCGGATCGTCCATGTCTAAGCCTTGGCGGATTTGGGGGTTAGTTCGGGTTGGGACTTCTCTGAACACTTAAGGTTTCGGAAATACCTTCCCAGATGCATTGGAGTGCTAGACCAGCCTTCTCCTGTGTTGCAGCTTAAAGGAAGCCCGCACGACGTAGGGGTGAGAGAGGGAGAGACACCCTAAACCCTAAACCCTACTTTAATCCCCTATAGACCCGAAACCCCAAACCCTAAAAAGCCGGTGGCTTTTTCACACCCTCTAAGATTGCGAAGGGCGCCCTGTGAGTAAGGTTGATCCCAACGACATGAAGAAACGAGTCCTTGCACACCATGAGCCCCCACAAAACCTTCGAAGCCGGATTTCGGCTCTCACGCTCCACAAGTTAGCCCAGCAACCATGTTACTATAAGGGCACCCTTTGTTGGGTCGGTTTCTTTATATGGGAACCTTGAACCCAAAAAGCCGACAAAAAGGGGGGACCAGTGGGCTACCAAGTCCAGCAAGACGTCGTAACATGTGGGCTCTACAGGTTCCATGGGTAGTTGTAATTAGGTTTGTAAGTACCCTAAGCAAGGTTGTCAGTAGAGACACTAAAATTTTAATCCTACCTATAGCTACCCCTGAACCTCCAAGTATAGGCCGAAAGTAATAACAACTCTGGCTCAACAACAGCCGCGGTGCTGGCGAACTCTCGCTGCAGCTCCTCCAGCATGGGAAGCGATTGAAACCCGAAACCCTAAACCCGAAACCCAAAACCCGGTCCCTCAAGGAGGCTTCGAACAGCACAAACCTGCATAAATGATTCTCGCTTCCAGACGCCTTGTTCCCAGCTGAACCACAACAGAAGCCCTGGCAAAATCAACCATACTCCGGGGATCCTCATCTGCAGAAGACCCAGGCTATCACTGCCTAACATCCCCTCCCCTAAACCCTAATCCTTCTTGCAGAATTCTGCAACCACCGTCCTCGGCACTCAACAGCCGCTCTACCCGACCCGCGAGGTCGGATGTCAGTTGCCACGCTTCGACCTTCGCGCAGATTCGGGTCAAGAGCTCAAAGGTATAACATGTGTTGTTTAACCACTTCTTCGGCCAAGCTAGTGTGTCTTTGTTTGCAAGTGGTAACAACTAATTAGCCGGAAGCGTTTTTCTGCATGGAAGTGGGCGTGGTGCTTCAGACATAGGAGCGTGGACCCTTGATGGAAAGGGGGGGGGGGGGGGGGGGTTGGTAAAGTATCACAAGGGTTCCTTTCTGACACAATTACGACTCGGCACCAGCATACGTGAGCTGTAAGACCTTGAGTTTATGTCCTCTTAGCCACCGGATTCCGGATTCAACTACATCCGTGAGCTCCGCCAAGCGAGAACTCGGCCCCAGCTTAAGGTGGGTTTAAGGAAGCACTTGACGAGGATTGCGATTCTGGCTACTGTGGTGATGGTGCCGATGATGCTGGTGATGCTGGTGGTCGTGGCTAAAAACGAAGTCGCGCGATTAGCACGCTGTTCAGTGCAGGTACAATCTCTCCAAGCCTGCCAAGAACACAGAAACGATAGCAGTCTGCTAAGCGATGGGACATCTATCTTACCGCCATAGAGGGACTACACTGCGAGGGCTCTAGGCCTTGCAGCTTGGGATGTTCCCCCCTGATACTGACAGCTCCTTAAAAGGGATTGTAATAGGGGGCACTTACATCCCTATTAAGGAGCTATTTTAGGGTTTGGGGTTTAGGGCCCTAAACCCCAGACCCTGAACCCTAAATCCTAAACCGGAGGGAACATCCCAGCTTGTAGCCATCCAACTTGAAAGCCCGAGGCCGGCTCTAATCCCCTTTCAAGAAAGAATATCCAACAAAAAGGAATAAAAAACATTATCCCTACAGTACCCTAAAGAGATATCATCCCTATATTGCCCTTATAAAGAAGAATATTGTTGCTTTTTGGGGGGTTCCCTTTGGCCTTGAAGCTCCCAGCGTGAATTGCCCACCTGACAGAACATCAGGGATTCAGAGTCTTGTTTTTGTTTGTTTGCTTGTTTGTGGGGTGTAGGGTTTAGGGTTTAGGGTTTAGTTTAGGGTTTAGGGTTTAGGGTTTAGGGTTTAGGGTTTAGGGTTTAGGGTTTAGGGTTTAGGGTTTAGGGCATAGGGCTTCGGGCTTAGGGTTTAGGGTTTGTGGTGGTGGGGAGAGAGAGGGGTTCTCTCTGGGTGATTAGATTATGGGGCTGCATGGGTTTAGGGTTTCAGGCTCAGCGCTAGCGTTTAGCCTGTGATCCGTTTAGGCTTCTCTTCGGAAACTGTACAAAGCCCGAATGTGAAACCTGAATCGCAACCCGCAAATTTTCGGGGTTCCAGCTAAAGCGCGTGCGTTTCAGGGTCAACCTGCTGTACATCTCGTCAAAAAAGCACGCCCCTTTTGCAGGTTGAAAACTGGAGCCTGAGAACCTTAGCACCGGAATCCTGAAACCCTAAACCCCCTAAACCCTCCAAACCCTCCAAACAACCCAACCCTCCAAACCAGGCACTGCAGACCTAGAAGCATCCCCCTTTCCCCCACCCCCCCCCCCCCCCCACCTGCACGGGAGCTTCAGCTCCTTCTTTCTCAAGGACCCATATCGGAGAGATTTAGGAACATCATCCTCTTAACCCAATAAAGGGAAATATGAACTGGCCCAAGGGC